TCTTACACAATCAGTTCTTGTTTAGTAAATCAGTCTGAAAACAAGATCAAAAAGACTTTTTGGCTGATATAAGATTTTAAAACTTGGTAAGATGGACTGGGCCCACCAATAAGCCCCCACCCCACCACACTCCCACCTAAAACAATAAATCTTTTCTGGTGAGTTCTGCTTTGCGTACGTGCGGGGGTCATATATGCTACCACTATAAGGTATCTAGTTTTAGTTTAACATTCTAAGAGTTCCTTTTCTTAAAAAACAAAGAGAATAGAAGAAACATTCACTCATATAAAACATGTAAAATGCTAAGTGTCTTATTTTGCTGCAGAAACATCTTTAATCTCTTTTACCTTTAAAGGAAACTGCTGAGTGACCTCTGGCAGGTATGGGACTCCAGCCTTGGTTTTGTGCAACGCAACAACGATAAAATACTCAAAGAGCTTTCTCTCCTGTAACTCCATCAGATCCCTCTCCAAGGTCCGGTACCGCCCTGTCTGTTTCAACATGGACTGGACCGACACCAGCCGCTGGCTGTGAGCTTGAGGTGCAAGAACCGGACATTTTACACAAGTTCAGGAAATCCATCTCATGCGCACACACAGACACACATGCACAGAAACCAGAGGGAGACGAAGAGCAAACCAATCTGATGTTCTAGATAATAAAATAAAGTTTTAAACACAGTATCTTTTAGCACACATTCTCTGATTTTATTCACTTTAACACTTTTACTACAAAACGGACAAACTATAAGAAATGCACAGTTTTGTGGAGTGTTCTCACCTTTTAGTTTCTCCTCTGTGTCACTTTCTGACTCGCTGTTCTCCTCTGTCACAAAGAAAGAAAGAAAACTGAGTAAAAAGGAAAGAAGAGTGCGACAAGACTGCTAATTCAAGTCACGTTAAACTCATTAGGAGTTTTCTCTCAGCTTCATTCCTGCCACAGACAGTACATTAAAAACACCTGTCTACTCTGAAACAGACCAGTCTGAGCTTACCCCAGTTCTTTCTATTGATTTATTGATAGAAATTAAACAACATGTTTTAAGTGTACTTTTAGTTCAAGAAATACAAAAAACAGTCAGCACTACTGGTGGGAGATACTAGTAATTTTGTTCCAATACCAAATAAAAACAGTGCTAGTATCATCGATTCTGATATTCTATTGTTCATATGAGGAATTGTCATGTGAACAGGGGGAGTTTGAAGAAATTTATTAATGTTAGATACTGATTTTAAAAGCACTACACCATTTTCATAGTTTTCCTTTTTAAGGCTTGACTTTTATTGTGTAGGGGTAACCCTGGTGAAATATTCATTTCTATTTTTTGTCTTTGATTTGCTTTTACACTTATAAGAAAAAATGCATTTTAATGTTTGTTTCTATTTTCTTTAAGTGAATAGAACAATATGTTCTATATGTTTTATTTCATTTAATCTTTTAAAAGAGGTTATAATCAATATATCATTACTCAAAGTTTTATTGAATTAATCTTTGCATATCTATTTTAGAGTATAACACTGTGAAGAAAAAAAGGAGTGTAATGTGTTTTAATGTTTTTCTTTACTTAGTACTGCCTTATTAACCATGGTTTTATGATCATTTTTCTTAATTGATTTAATGATTAATTATGGTACTATTAATCCAGTCGTGCAAAGGTCTGATTTATAACCTTAAGTGAAGTGATTTTTACCATAACGACAGTAAGTC